AGGCTGGTTTTGAACTCACAGAGATCCACCTGCCTCTGCTTTCCAAGTGCTGGAATTAAGGGTATGTGCCACTATACCCAGCCCCAGTGTAATTTCTAATCCAGAGGTTAAATCTGTAATAATCTTGGTCAATCCAAACTACATATCTACCTAACTCACTGAATTGAGGTTTTATAATTTCAACACAAATCAAAGAATAGATATGCCTAGTTACAGGCATCTCAGTGACATCAAGAGGCAGTGGGGTCAGGAAGTGAGAGAATGAGACAGGTACTCCTGACTTACTTTCCATAAAACATGTCTTCCCATTGGTCCACCAAGGGCACGTGAAAGAACATAAATCAGTTACAGAGACTTTTGTGAACAAAGACATAACTGTGTTTGGCCTGTGACCACTTTAAACTGGTAACACATTAATCACAATAGAAAGTGAAATTCCACAGAAATTCATGGGGCATCCTGTCATGGGTGTGTTAGATCTTGTTTCTTCTGACTGGATCTTATTATATCACACTAAACACCACCCCCTGAGATCCACAAAGTACAGGTGAAATGAAATGCCACTACACTTCTCATCCAGACTTCCTCCTGATTAAATCATGAGCATAAGATAGAATGTTTATAACTTAGGTCCCAGAAATTAAAACTATAAAATATTGCATATTGTAAAAACATTAAAGTTACAAGTTCAAATGCAAATTTTAGTATTTATTAGGCAGGATGCATTGTACTCCCGAAATAAGACCCAATCCTTCACTTGTTATTTCTCACATTGGCTAGGAGACAGGCAAATAGCCAAGAAAATTCAGACAAAGAGAAGTTTAATAACTTTTATGATGCAAATCTGTAATAACTCTTAACCACCTCTACTTACTTCAAAGTAATGCATTCAACAGCCTAATGATTAAAATATAGGTATAGATTTTAAGGAGCAATGGAATTAATGTTAGTAATAGCTTGTTTCATTTTTGAATTATTTGATTAGATTCATGAGTTTAATATTACATTAAAATTTACAGGTGTGTTTAAAGTAGTAATTCATAAGACTTTAATTATATAGATAGCTCACTTTATATATTCTATTTTGCATCATGATCTTAAAATACAAATTAGTGCAAAATGCAGAATACTTCTCGAGTATCTCAGAAGCCTATTGATTGTTGGCACAACTTTTTTTTAAAAGGGGGTTTCTTTTATAATACTTTATTAGCATTCGTTCTACTTCAATTTAGGAGGAGAATTTTAGAGTTAGTTCAGATGTTACTTCTGCATTGAGCATTTTTGTTAGGTAACATCTTATGGTGGATATTGCCATTTACGAAACCACATTCCCAATAAGCCAAAAATCTGGCCATTGAAAGTTTTAGTAATATGACTTGCTGCTTTCTGTTTTGGATTCTTCCTGATCTTCCTCAATAAATGAGATGCACATTTTTCTTCTGGTAATTAGAGACGGATGTTGTAGTCCAGTAATAACAGCAAGGCTTTCTGATTTCCATCTCCAAATCACACATTCAGTTGAAATTTTAGCTGTAATTTCTTTTATGAACTTTGGCTCTCTGTGTTTGGTGCATAAATGTTTACAATTGTAGTATTTTCTCGCTGAATCTTTTCTTTGATAAGCATGTAGTGTCCTTCCCTATCTCTTCTGAATGATTTTGGTTTGGAGTTTATTTTGGCAGATAGCTATACCTGCTTGCTTCATGGGCCCATTTTCCCATATTTTCCACTTGAGGTGGTATCTTATTCTTGATAGTGAGCTGTATTTTTTAGATACAGCCGAAAAATGGATCCTGTTTTCTAATCTAAGGTTAGTCTATGTCTTTTTATTTGGGAAATTGATACCATTAATAGTGAATTATTAGTTCTCAGTGTTTATTCCTGTTATTTTTTGTTATGGTGTGGGTGATTTTTTATCATTCTTTTGGTCTTTTTGTTTATTTTCCTGGGTTTATGTATTCCTTATATGTTCTTGGGTGTAGCCAATCTTCTTAGACTGACGTTTTCCTTCCAGTGCTATCTAGAACTGGAATGGTAAATCAAATTTCCTTAAATTTGGTTTATCGTGGGATTTTTTTCTTTGTTCATTGATTGTGATTGATCATTAATTTACTGGGTATAGGAGTCTGGGCTGGCATTTAGAGTCTGCAGCACATCTGTCTGTCCAGGCCTTTCTGGCTTTAGAGTCTCCATTGAGAACTTGGATGTGATTCTAATTGGTCTGTGTTTGTATGTTACTTGGTCTTTTTCTCATACAGCTTTGATATCCTTTCTTTTTTCAGTACACTTAGTATTTTGATAATTATTGTCACTTTGGAATTTCTTCTCTGGTCCTGTATATTTGGTGTTCTGTATGGTTTTGTACCTTTATGAGAACCCCCTTCTTTTAATTGGAGAAATTTACTTCTATGATTTTGTAAAAAAAAAAAAAATATTTTTGATCTGGGTTTTTTCTCATTCCTCTATACCTATTATTTCAGGTTTGTTCTTTTCCTAGTGTCCTAGATTTTCCTGAATATTTTGATCCCAGATTTTTAGATCTAACATTTTCTTTGATTGAGCTATCCATTTCTTCCACCTTATCCTCAAGACTTAAATTCTCTCTTCTGTGTTTTACAATCTGTTGGTGAGGTTTAATCACTGAGGTTTTTGTTTTGCATCCTAAGTAGTTCATTTCCATTTTTATTGCAGTTTGGCTTTTCTTTGGTGATTTTATTTCTTAGTTAAGTTTTACTTTTATGTCTTGAAATATTTTTATTATTCTATTCAAATGTTAGTATTTTCACAGTCTCCATTAAGGCATATTCATATCCTTTTAAGGTCCTTGAACATAGTCAAAATTGTTATTTTGAAGTCCTTAACTTGTGCATCAGCTACACTGCTTTTCCCAGAGTTTATTGCAGTTGGGCTGCTGGCTTCCTGAATAGGTATATTGTCTTGATTATACATGTTTGTGTTTTTTTTTTTTTTCAGGAATCCAGGTATCTGAAGTTGTAATATGTATTGTTATATAATGATCAATTTGTTTCTAATTGCCTAGTCTTGTCTTTGATATATGAATGTTCTTTGGTTGCTCTTGACTACTCTTGATAGTGGGTAAGTGTGGTGGCTCTAGGTCCTTGACAGAGAGTGTAATTGTGAGTCATGGGTGACACAAAGGATTAGAGATGGATAAAAGGAAAGGCTCAGATTGACACCGGGAAAGAGTTAGGGTCACCACCAAGAGAATGGACGTGGGAGGGAGGAGAGGCTTCTTCAGGCAAGTGGCAGCAGGACTAAGAGGAGGTCTGGAGAGAATGGAATGAAAGAGCTAGAAAGTCATTTTCTAGATAGTCTTTTAAGCTGCCTGTACAAAGAACCCTTCCATAAATTTAGATTTATAATTGTCTGTTAATGACACGAAACTTATAGAATAAGAGTTACTCAGTTTGTTGAAAGTAGCCAGTCAAATCTCTGATCCAATTTCCCTTCAAAATAAAGAATATTCTTAATCACATGAATGTAATTACAGCTATTTTATGTAATTTTATTTTCTCTGTAAGATGTGTTGTGGGATATAAATCGTACTGTAACTCCTTTAATTCAGAACACACAGATTTTCTAATTCTATTTCTGTTTTTATACTTTCGCATTTCTTTTTAAAAACATGTTAGTTCAAAATATGAATTGTCATGAAAATATTTTATCTCTGGTTGATTTTCAAGTACACATTAAATAATCATTTATATGATATATGATCTGATGCTTGAAACAAGTTTGTTAAATTGGAAGTTAAAAATGTTATCAGCAGGGAATTGTCCATATTAAGGTGGAGTTATCTGTCTATTGCTGCAGAACACATTCCTCCAATACCTACCACCTTAAATCAACAAACACTGATGTTACACATTTCCCAAGGGCAGCCTAGGTGGGGCATCAGCACATGGTTTCTCCAGGAATGCAGTCAAGCCGTTGCTCAGGACTACAGCTTCTCCAGGCTTCTCTGGCACTGGGACATGCTTCTGAGCTCACTGCTGGGACATTAGCAGACTGAGTTCTTCCCCCTTGTGACTATTTTTGTAGAGTTGCTCAGATCGGATATGGCTTGCTGCAGAGAAGGAATAGAAGAGCTCAAGAAAATCAGAAAGACTATTTTATAAGCAAATCTCAGCCATGCTAGACCCTTTCCTCTCCCATACTCTCTTGACCCCACAGATCAATCCTCATCTAATGTGGGAAAGAATCACTTGGGGTGCATATTCCAGGATAGATGGGGATTTATTTAAGTAGTGAGTCTTTGAGTAAAACTTTCTCATCACAAAGGAGATTAAAATCGAAAATCCCTTTTTAGCTATATCAAAATCTGTCAATTTCTTTTAACTATCAGGAGCACTGTTGTTTATTTCTCTGAATTCTATAATCATCACATCACTGAACTTCAATATGATTTAACAAAATTCTCTGCCTCCTTTTTAGAAAAATATTTTGTGGTATTCTAGAAGATTGTCTTTTAGTTTTAAAGTGATTTGAATGTGACAGTGTGTTATCAGTTAAAAGAAATGTCACCTATAAATCATTTTATAAGTACTTGTGTTTAATATCAACATACTAATAATCTTTATCCCTTAACATCTAAGTTGTTCGTCCTTCTTGGTTTCTATTTGACTTTATACAGGGTCTCCTGTAGCCCAGACTGGCCTGGAACTTGCTGTGTGTGGAAACTCTTGCTGCCTCCACCTCTACGTACTAGGACTGCCAGACTGTAACAACTTTATCCATATTCCCTCTGTGCTTTTCAGTTAAGTCTTTCCATGGCTTCTTTATTCTCAGAGGTTTGAAAATTCATAGTTATCTCCACAGTATCTCGGGTCACTTAAACCCAAGTAAGGTTGATATTGAACCATGTGTGCAAAGCATTCTGCAGTGGTTTTACTACAGCTGATTTTGTTGAACCATTTATTGAATTTTTCCTAAAATAACAGCAGCATAGCTGATCATATGACCTTATCTTTTTATCCTAGGTCTCCTAAAAACCCAGAACAGAAGATCATAAAGAGAGTGATTGCTCTTGAAGGAGACATTGTCAAGTAGGTGCCCAGGCTACTGGTATAACTTACTATCTATTGGGCTTTGGTTTGTTTGTGTTTTGTTTATTAGATAAAGGGTTTCTCCATGTAACAGTCGTAGCTTTGCTGGAACTCCCTTTGTAGACCTGGATGACCTCAAACTCACAGCTGTCTTTTTCTGAGTGCTGGGATTAAAAATATGCACTACCACCCCAAGGCTCACAATCTAGTGTTTTAATTTGATTTTGAGCCATTATTTGAAATTAAAGTAGAAAATACCTTGGGGTCCAGAACTTTGGATAAACTTCACTTGGGTTTCTACTTGAGTGCACATCAGTAACCATTTCAGGGTGGAAGGTGTATTTGAAGTTACTGAGCATACCATCGCCCTTACATTATAAAACAGAGCATAATTATTAAGGAAAGATCAACCAACACTCTGACCATTAAATCCATTCTTTCAGATATCAACACCAGCACAATTATTTTAATACTGTGACATTCATATCCATTTTAGAAAATTTCAAGGGTATTTCATTATTTCCAAATACAAACACAAGGAGTCATAGGAGTCTTTCATAACCATAGAGATAGAGAAGTTGGATAGGAAGTGAAACTTGCATTTCTGGGTTCATAACAGGTGTTGAATGTGCAGACAGCACTAGAATATTCGAGCATTTGAGCAGCAGATAGAGTCTTATTACACTTGCTGATATAAACAGTACTTTAGAATAGGCAAGAAAGACACCAGTGTGTGACGCATCTCATTTTGATTGCCTACTTTAAATAAGATCTAGCCAGGTGTACACAATATGGCAGATAAATGCTTTGAAAATAATATTCAGGATGTTTTCTGGTCTTGTTTCTACCCACAAGTCCATCCTGAAAATACCTTTGTTGATTGCACAAGGAAAAAAAAAACTAAATGAAAAGTGTCCCTGTTAGTGTTAGAGCAGAATTGAGATCAGCAGTTGTGAAAAGATGGCCTGGGGACCGCTAGTGTCCCCAAGACCCATCTATGAGATGAAATCTACCTTTGTTCCTAACAAAAGAGGCCTTTGTCTCTTTTTAAAAACTGTTAGCCTATTGTGCATATAGATGGAATTTTCCAGATGTGTGATATTGTGATGGATGGAATAATAAAGCAGAGAGAGCAACTCAGCTATCCTCTAATACACCAGACATTGAAGCATTCAAAATGTTGTATGCTTACTCTTTGCCACTTAAAAACACTGTGATTTTATCAAAATATATTTTAATAGTACAAGGTTTACTGTTTATCGAATTCAACAATACTTTTTAAAATTATTCAATATTTGTGCCTGTATACAATGATTTAAATCAAACCCATCTCTGGTCCCTCCCCTATCCCTTGGACCACTTTTCCTTCCTAAAACCATATCATATATTCTCTCTGTTTTCCATATGTTTTTAGTAAAATATGGTAGGAAGACCATAGTCAACAATAAGTGGGTTAGTAGAAATGTGGTTTTTTTCACTTCCTGTAGAAAATTATATTCAAAGGACCTGGTGGCTTTCTTTTATTCTTTTTATCAAGAGTCATTCCAGGATTGTGATTTCCTTCAGAAACAGAGACAGGCATGAACTCAGAAAACCATGCGTTTTTCAGGTAGAAATATCTAATCACATCTTTAGTGTCTGGAAAACTGTGTAAGTGTGATGCAGTATCATTAAAGAATGAATCACAGACTATAGATTATTTGATTCTATTTCTGCGACATGTCTAGAATAGGTAAATGCACAAAAACAGTGACAGGTTAGTGACTTTCCACAGGCATGACAGAGGGCCACAGAGGGACTGATAATGAGTACAGGGTCATTTGCTTGTTTTTAAGGGGTACAGAAATACCCTAAAATGTATGGTGGTGACAGTTGTACAGTGGGGTATGTAAAACTTACTGATCTGTACATTTTAAGTGGATTGATTATATGTCATATGAACTGCATCTCAATAAAGCTAGTCTTACACAACTAAAATGGTCACCAAAACAAATTGTATTCATTCAAAGGAATCTAACAAATTGAAAATGTCGGTGAATCAGTTTATCATTATAATCCAAAGTGAACTTTGCTAGTTCTCGTCACTTACTAGCTGAACTCAGTCCTCTCCCCCAGTCAACAACGTGAGATTACAGTAGTAGGCAAAGATGAAACTCCACAGTAGACCCCCGAGAAGACATTAAGCATTGTTCTCAGTATATCTGCATCGGGTTAACACAGCAGAGGCTGACCCAGAGCCAGAGGCAGGCTGATGAGCCAGGCTTGGACTCACCTTCTTTCTGGATACTGTTGAAGCCCATGCAGACAAAGCCTGCAAATGGATGTCAGTGTGTCTGTGTCCCCATTATCCCCCTTTCTGGAGCTCAATCATGGAGAATGAGTGATATAAAGAAGGAAATTCTTAGAGTCAAGATTTAATTCCACTGTGAAGTCTTTTTTGAGAAAACTTTTGTTGATTAATTAGAAAAGTAATCATTCAGTATTGCTTAGTGTCTTTAAGTGGAAATAACAGCATTTCTTTTCTTTGAAGCCATGGCAACTGATTGTCCTAGGCTTTGAGTTAGTAAGTACATGTGTAGTTCCAATGGTTTCTAACAGTTTGGAAAATTGTTATGGGGACTGTTAATTAGGTAATAAAACATTTACTGATAAACTTACTTATTTTTGTTTTGTGATCCCTTTCTTGAAATTACATTTCAGAGAAAAAAAAAATAGGAAGATGCTCCCTATCTGCCACAAGGGGTCATTAGCCCAACAGTGCCCTTCTTCATGACAGTCAATTGTGATGTGTTTCCAGTCCCATTTTCCCCTGGATATTACTGAATTTCCTAGGAGGCAAGCTAAAACCAAATATGGACTTTCAGTGTTTTCTTGATCTTTCTTAGAGAGAGAGAGAGAGAGAGAGAGAGAGAAAGACAGACAGAGAGAGACAGAGACAGAGAGAGATAGAGAGAGAAACATGCTAGTTCCTAGGATGCAGCCATTAGATTGTTTACCCGTCACAAATTGATTGGCTGAGTTTTGGGTAGGTGGCCTTCCCTGGTATGGCTTCCATGGGTAGGGAGGTCAAGTGACCTGGAAAGCACCCTGTAGTTAAAAGTGACCTGTTATAAGTGACTTATAGGAAATGACAGGTACCAAGAGGGCTCCCAGAACAGGGCATTGCAGTTAGCAATCACCTGGCTTAGCATTACCTTTTCAAGTTTCAGTTCAATGAAACTGTAATCTGTTCTCTTCAGTAGTGACTTTTACTCTACTCCCCAAGGAAGATTAACTTTTTAAAGTTTTGTTTGTAATTATGGAAATAGTTTGGCTTTCATGAACTGAAGATGCTAGAAGGATTTCCTTGGTCACAAATACTGTTAAATTTTGTAGACCAACTAGGCAAAAATTGAAATATTGGTTATAAAAGCTTGGGATTAGAGTTATTTTGTTTTTAGTTGTAGTTTCCCTCCCAGAAAGCTTTTTTGAATTTATTTTAAAAGATTTTACAAATATAAATAAGTCACACAACAAAATTAATTAGTCCCAAAGTCTATACAGAAAGTTTTTGTGTATTTGTATTTGTTAACACTCTTCAAAATGTACTTCTCAGTGGGGATTTATTTAAAAGTCAAAGAAATGTGGTCTTCAGTTTCAGAAGTTTAGACACTTCAATACGAATTTTTGAAACCAATTCATGTACAAGCTATATGAAGTAATGCAGTTCAACACAGAATTCTATACTTAAAACATGATTTTTTTGTGTGTGATTTGAAGCATGAATTTTGTAAATGACAACATAATGCCTCAATTATAAAAGGTTGGACACCCTGGTAGACCTTAATCCCATTCATTTAATAATAATTGACCTGATTACTAGAGAGACATAGTGAACAAAAGAAACATTTACCCTTCATTTGCATACACCTCTGTTGTTGGGAATACAGAGTGAGTCTACAGTGTACATATGCATGCATGAACATACATAGGTAAGAATAAGTGAGAAGTAAGGAGAGGTGGCCTTTAGGTAAGGTATTCACTGAAAACATTTCTAGGATTTGGAAATTAAGAGAAGGAGACAGTGAACCATTCTATGTGAACAAAAGATGACCAGCCAAGTATTTTTAAAGGATTGTTGTTTGCTGTATGCAAAAAGAGTAAACAACAACAGTGTTTCTCTGACAACTGTAAGAGTATTCTCTCTTGACAAAGTGAAGTCAAGCTTCTCATGGGAATAGTTAAGTGCCTTTGTTCATAGCATACATGATGACTACTTTGAGTTATCTCCAGTGACCCCGATGAAAGCAGTCACATTATTTATAACCCACTGATTATGATTTATATTGACTAAATAAAATATAGAGTTTGAAGTATTTGTTCAGTGAATTCACCCAATACCTAAGATTGGAAATGAGGAGACCTCGGAGGTCTGGATTTTGTAATCTAATGTCAATATTGGATAAAATCACAAGGTGACATTTTTCATTCTCTGAATCCCTTAGGAAAGACCGTATTTTCATAAAGTTGACCCCACTGTGTATGTTTATCTATAAGAGTAACAACGAGAAGCTAATGAAAGTAATACTTAGTCATATTCATTAATTCCACCATAACTATTTGCTTTTTCATGTTAATTTATTATGACTCTCACAGAAACACTGTTTTAAAAAGCATAAAATGAAGAAAAATACAGCCACTGAACTACAGGACATTGATGGAAATTAGGTACAATTGAAATGTCTGAAGCATCAGCTCTGAGTGTAGGGACAAGTGAATGTGTGTTTCACAGAGCTGGGGCTAGTCAGCAGTGAGGCCCTGGGTCATGTCCCCTCTCTTAGAATCTGGGGTTCTATCAATGTCAATGAAGTAAGCATATGGATTTTTTCTAGTCCCCATGGACAGGATAGCCATATAACTTATCACGTAAATCCTGACACTCTGCAGAGGAAAAGAGCTTAACACCAGTTATGCACTGGGATCATCAACATAACCCGGAACTGCCAGAATAGACTTCAATA